TGAAAACACGACTAAATTGTGAGTACACAGTCAAACTAATTATAGACAAAGAGAGGAGATTTCAAATAAACCAACGCTATTGTTGCTAAATCTTAGCATCATTATTTTTTCAGCATTTTTTATGATTGAATTCTTTTTATTGTCTTTTTAATACGCTATTTATTCGGTAAGCTTGTATTTCTAAGTAACAGCTTCATGTACTACTTTTAATGCTACTAGATGCAAGTTAATGTGAAATATGGCTTTTTATTTATTATCAAAGCTTTTTAAATGAATTGCATGTGTTTTTAAAGCAAAAGAATAATAAGTAACCGCATTATTTGCTATCGAAGTAATATTTTTGTTGGTCTCTCTTCGTTCTCCAATTCCTGCAAGCGCCTTATATCACTTTTCCTTTCTCTTAGATACTTACGACGGCATCTTAGATTTTAGCTCTGTGATATTCAGCTTTTTTTATACTCAAGAAAGTGTCTTTTTCAGTGTATGCATTAAAGTAGAGATTGCATAAAATTGCTTTTGTCCTTTAACATAGTAGTGCATATTTTTACCTTATTATAGTCCGCTTTACGATAACCAGATATAACCATGACTCATTATAGTTAAACTTGTCTTCTCAGCCCTTCTGTGCTGGATCGGCTCAATTGCCTTCTCGAGCCGGGTGGAGAGTTGGTGCTTAACGAGCGTGGCCTGGACCCAGAAACTGGTCTGCTCGTTCGGATTAAGCCTCATCCTGACTTTAGAATCATACTCACGGTTGATGAAGACCCTGTCACTGCATCTTCAGGAGCACTTGTTTGTAACAAGGGTAGCTCTCAAGGTTTTTCTCGTGCCATGCGAAACCGAGGCATTGAGATCGCCCTGATCCATGAGGTATTTTGAATAATATTTTAGATAAGTGGAATCGAAATAGTAGTTTATTAGGTAGCTTAACTTAGACATAATTATGTTTTTTTATTATTCAACTTTTCATCTGACACGATTTAAAGAGTGATTTATTAAAAGTAGTTTGACCTTGTTTTCACACTTTCGTCATAGTAGTTGGAAGATTTAGAGGAACGCACCTAGTCCGGAGTACATTGTATGCATGATAAATTCCTGAGTCGGTCAATGGACTTGTTACATTCCCAGACATTTCGCTGGCATCGTCAATGACTCTTGTCAGTCTTAGTACCTCACAACAACTCGTCGAAGAGACAAGTGAAGCTGATCCTTTGACCAATTGTCTGCTAAACAATCTGATATCTCTCCTTCCCCCTTGGGCTAATCACCAATCCTATATTCTCGTCTCACGCCATCTCTATCATAATTTTTACTCGCTGATTTAAATGTCGTTTGTGAATTGGAATCTTTGGATTGCCTTAGATCACAGGGCAGATGTCAATTTCAAGGAATTTCAGGCATTTTCCATATCACATTCTGTGTTGGGGTTGTTAATGGAATAAACTTATATTTGCTATGGAAATCGACGACATTACTTTTTTCGTAAATGAGTAT